CCGCCTCCCCGCGCGCCGCAGCCATCGCGGCCTCCGCCTCCGCCGCCGCCCGCGCCGCCGCCGCGCGCAGCCCCGCCGCCTCGTCCTCAGCTGCCTCGGCGCGCCGCGCCGCGGCGGCGGCCTCCTCGCCCGCCGCGGCGGCCTCGTCGCGCGCGGCGGCCGCCGTGCGGCGCGCCGTGGCCAGCGCCTCTCGCGACTCCTCAAGCTGCCGGCCCAAGCTCTCAATTTCACCCTCCAGCTCCCCCCGCGCCTTGGCGGCCGCGGCGCCGAGCGCGTCTTTAAACGCGCGCGCGCGGCGCTCGCCGTCGGCGCGCAGCTTCTCAAGAGCTTCGCCCGCGGCGCGCGCCTTGGCCTGGCTGGATTCTGCCAGCTCTCTCGCCGCCTGACAAGGTGGAGAGAGGTCAGAGGGCGACTTGGAGCGGTAAGAGTGTGTACTGTACATACAAAGTCCTCACGATGAGACAAGGCCACAGGAGAGGGGTCAGCACGTCTTACCCAAGGCCGATTCTCGGCTGCAGAGGCCACCAGACTAAAGAGTAGTGGAGCCCTCTCGCCCCACGTCGACGAGCGCCATGATACTCTGCGCAGGCAGCACGCACATGATTCGCCGTTGACGCACGGCGCGCCTTGCACGCGGCGCCTGCAGCCCCCCTAAACCCACCGCCCCTTCCTCCCGCGCCCGCTGCAGCTCCGCCTCGGACGCCGCCCGCCCCGCCTCGGACGCCGAGCGCGCCGCGTCCGCCGCCGCCGCGCGCGCCTCCGCCTCGTCCGCGCGCCGCTCCGCTTGGGTCACCTCCGCGTGCGCCTGCGCCAAGCGCCCGTCGACCTCCACGGCGCTCGCCCCCCGCTCCAGCTCAGCTTGCTGCGCGCGCCGCGCCGCCGCTTGCGCCGCGTCCCGCAGCGCCGCCGCCTCCGCCTCGGCGGCGCCCGCGCGCCGCTCCGCGGCCGCCACGCGCGTGGCCGCGTCGCGTGCGTCGTGCTGGGCCTGCGCCGCGGCGGCGGCGGCTGCTGCGGCGGCGGCGGTGGACTGTGCTGCGGCCGCGTCGGACTGTGCGGCGGCGGCGGACTGTGCAGCAGCGAGCTGCTGCTGCAGGTCGGCGACCTGCGCCTGGGCAGCGCTGGCCTGGCGGCTCTGCTGCTGTACGGACTCCTGCGTGCAGATGGCGCGTGAACATCAGGTGATCGCAGCGCCGCGTCCATGCGGGTTGCTTCCATTCCAGGCATGTCAACCTCCTGGCTTCGTGCCGCTGCATCTAGCCGGCCCGAGACCCTGGATTTCCAAGTGCCGGGCCCATCAGCATGCGAAAGAGCAGGACAGCCTGTGCCCCCAGCCGCATGCCCCACGCCCCACGCGTGCGGATGTGCCGCGACACCCCCGCACTGCTGCACAGCCCCGAGCGGCCGCAGCACGCATCTCGCGTGCGGGCCCACCTGCGCCCGCCCGAGCGCCTCCTCCAGCGCGGCCGCCTTCTCATGCAGTTCGACCCTCTGCGCCATCGACGCCTGCAGCATCTCTTTCAGCCGCTCGTACGCCCCCACCAACTCCCCGTATGCCGCCTCCTGCTGCGCCGCCTGCTGCTGCAGCCGCCGCCGCGCCTCGGCCTCGGCCTCGGACGCGGCCGCGGCCGCCGCGGTGGCCGCTGCTGCCGCGGCCGACTCGGACGCGAGGCGGCGCTCGCGCTCCGCGCCCTCGCGCGCCAGCGCGTCTAGCTGGGCGCGCGCGCGCTCATAGTCTGCGCGGACGCTCTGCAGCTCGGCCTCCGTGCCACGCAGCCGTGTCTTCAGGGAGGCGAGGTCGTCTGTTGCGTCGTGCGAGGATGCGGCGCGCGCCGCTGCCCAATCTGGCTGGAGCTCCTGCTCCTGCTCCTGCTCCTGCTGCTGCTCCTGCTGCTGCTCCTGCTGCTGCTCGTGCTCCTGCTGGGTTTGCTCCTGCTGCTGCTCCTGCTCCTGTTGCTCCTGCTCATGCTCGTGCTGCTGCTCCTGCTGCTGATGATAATTTTGCTGGTACTGCTCCTCAGGAGACTCCAGATGCTGCACCGACGGGGGTTGCTTTTCGACGCTAATGACCTCCCCGACATCCTGGCCCCAAGCCCCTGATCCTGGCGGTACTGCTGCTGCTGCTGCTGCCGCTGCTGCTGCTGCTGCAGCCAAGGGCGCGATGCCCGCGGAGGACGCTGAGCAATCATTGGCTCCTTCGGTTTGTGTTGGAGTGTTGAAGTGCGACGCAGGGGGCGTGGTGATGGGCGAGGGATTGGCGCCGCCGAAAATGTCTGCAGGCACAGCTGCATCGACCCAGGTCTGATGCAGTGGGTCCGCAGCATCCTCCTCGGCCGTCTGCTCCTTGAGCAGGTGGGGCTGGAACGGCCGTTCTTGTGTCTCGGACTCGTGCTGCTGCAGCTGCTGCTCGTGGTCCAGACGCCCCTGTACCGCCCCCTCCTGCCGCTGCTGCTGTTGCTGTTGCTGCTGCTGCTGCTGCTCTTCCTCCTCTGCTTCCTGCTTTTGTTGCAGTTCTAGGCCCCACTCTCCCTTCTGCTGCTGGTGCGAGCGCAGACTGTCTCCTTTCTCGCGTGGCTCGTGAAACCACTGCCTAGCTGCATCCACTTCCTGCTGCTCCTGCTCTTGCTCCTGCTCCTGCTCCTGCTCCTGCTGCTGCCAGCTCTTTGGCTGCTGATGTTCGTGTTGTGCATCTTGCAGATGTGCAGAAACCCGGTGCTCTGACTGCTGCTGCTGCTGCTGCCATGCCATGCGCTCGTCATGCTCCTGCTGCTGCTGCTGCTCCTGCCAACGCCGTGCATCCCCCTGCTCCTGCTGTTGCTGCTGTTGCTGCTGCTGCTGCTGCTGCTGCTCTTGTTGCTCTCCCTCCTGTCCCTCCTCGCTCTCTGGCTGCTGCTGCTTCTCTTGCTGGAGCTGCTCTCCCTCGTTCTCTGTCCGGGGCGGCTCCTGCTGCTGCTGGCTCGCCTTGGTATCCCAAACAGGCGAACCCTTCAAGTCAGACCCAGACCGCCACCCCACGCGATGTGCGCCAAGCCCCGGCGTGGCACGTCCGCCCGGCTGCGCCAACGCTGCGGCTGGCCCCCCTCTCAAGGCGTATGCCGCCTCATCACCAACTTTACGAGCGGCTGTAACGTGCGGCCGTGCCGACCCGCCACCAGAGGACGCACTGGTCAGCACCACCCGAGGGCTCGGCGGCGGCCCCATCTCAGTAGTGCCCAGCTGCTCGCCCACGGCCCCCAGGCCGTCCCGACTCTTGTTGCCGCCCTCAACTGCCAAAACCCCCTGAGCCTGGCCTCGCCCGCCGCCGCCACCATCTGGCAGGCCTGCGGCGTATGGTTTCCTGGTGGGGCGGGGCTGTGGGACGATGTCGCCGCCACGTGTGTGAAGCCCGCCATGAGACTGTGGAGCGGGCTGCTGCTGCTGCTGTTGCTGCTGCTGCTGCTGCTGCTGTTGCTGCTGCTGTTGCTGCTGCTGCTCCTGAGTTTGCAGCTGTGGACGTGGTCTGTCGGCGAGTCCCTGGAACAACCCAGTTTGGGACAGCTGGTGGCAGGGTGGGGTGGCGCAAGTACGCATGCAGGTTGGTTGCAGCCGGGGGACACCATGCAGACACGGGCTGGCTTTTCATTGACAGCTTGGCATAACAGAATTGCATGTGCTTCTATGGTGCCAATCAGGTGGGCGACCCGGCACCTGTATGCGTGGCCGCAGCTCGAGCTGGGCGCTGCCTGCCTGCCAGTGATATGCTTCTAGAGCTGCAGCGGCCGCGCACCTCGCCGGCCTCGCGGATCGCTTCTTCCCTCAGCTCCTTGGCCGCCTCGGCAGCAAAATCGGCTACGTTCTTCACAAGGTTCTTCCACATGTTGAGCAACCACCTTTCAGAGATCTGAATGTCACCGACCTGATCCAAGTCGCTCACCGTCGGTAAGAAGTGGGCGTTGACGATCCATGTACGCCACTCCCCCGTACATGCCATATGTACGCAGTCTACTGCCGCGAGTTGACCAGCAGCTGCCAGCCGACTGACTGATTGCTTGCTCAGAAGAGAGCGTCAATGCTCGCCCAGTGAGGTCGATGACATAGTCCTGTCGACGGCACCGACCTTCGCAGGCGTGCGTCTGGCAGAGCTTCCCGCCTTATTGGTAAGTTGGTATTGGCTCTGCTCGGACGATCCGGGCGGGCCTGCACAACGCCGTGGCGGCATCGCTGTCGTCGGGACGCGTTCGTTGCCGCCAAGAGGGTGGGCGCCGGTGTTGTGCGTCTGCACCCTTGCACGTTTGTGGCACCAAATCAAGTCATTGACAGATTCTGCGCAACACCCACCCACAAATGGCCCAGCACCACCAATCTTTCGACACGGTCGCAGCGTTCCTCCCTCTACACCAGCACTATCAATCCAGCACAATTTGCAGTGCACCGTTGTACGCAATGAGCCATTCCAAGTATTGTAAACTCTGATCGCAAGGGTAGCCAAACCACCATTGACAGGTTGTTGAGATGGGAGTGACATGTTTGGGCATAGGAAAAGCACTCACTGTGCACCGGTGCCGTGCTGTCGCGCTGCACTCTGAAAGCTGCCTCAGAATCGCTCAGAATTGGAGCTGTCACACATGCAGTAGTAGCAGGGAAAGACGTGCGAGGGTACAAATCCAGCAGAGACTGCCGGTCGTGTGCACATGCGTTGCGCGTGGCGATGCTTATATGAGAGCGCAGTGCGGGTCCGGCTGAAGTCCTGCGCGCAGCAGCTGGCAGCGAGTTGACGTTCAAGGTGTCCAGGTATGTGCAGAGCCACCGCACACTGTGGCAGCACGGTCAAGCAATGTCTTTGGCGCTGTGGCCTCAGACGCACGGTTTGGTGTGCTGGGCCCATGTTGGCGGGCAGCACTGCAGCGTCTCCCCATGCTGCTGCCTTCTCTATCTCTGGTCTATCATGCATCCGTGCCTGCAAATGCCTAGGCACGCAGTTTTGAGTCACCTGTTGATCATCCCCGATGCCCAGATGATGTTATCGGCGGGGGTGGCCCGCCTCTAAGCGCGGCTACGGAGCCCGCGGGGCGAGAGCGGCTCATGGTCACGCACCCTATTTTTCAAGCTCCACTCGGGTCTCTTGTACCTCATTGAGGCAGGACGGCATGGCTTGGTGACACCGGAGTGTGTGAAACACGGGTGGAAGCCTCGGACAAAGGACTCTTCCAGCTAACCCCTCAGCTATCAAAGCACTTCGAATATTGGCAGATTTCAGCGCACTGCAGAACACAGACTGGCGTAAGCAGTCCCGTTGCTTTTAGCGCCGTGAGCGCTCTGCTCAGCGGCGGTTCTTGGAGTGACAGCACTTGTTGTAAGGCTTAGGGGCGTCAGCCCGCGTGGGGGCGGCGAGAGATCAGGTCGTGCACGCGCCAGGCCTCCCCCCTTCGTGGGCTGGGACTCGAGCTGGGCGGGCAATCAAGCTGGCTGAAATTGAGTTCGCGACCACGTTAGGAGCGCCCCGCGCTCGGGCAGCGGCCCGTCGCGCCGGTCGATCGCACGGCGCGCACAGCAGCAACACCAGCCCGCGTGGCCCCGGCCATGCAGGCTGGCGTCGCAGTCAAGGTGGAGCCGGGGGGACCTGCAGGGTGCTCTCATCCAGGCTTTCCCTCCGGCGCCGCCTGCAGCGGCGGCCATGAGGGCCCATGCAGTGGCGGCCCAGGCGGGGCTGCGCCATCGCCAGCACTGCTGCCGCCCGATCCAGCGCCGCTGGGTGGCCATATCGTTCATCCGGCGCCGCAAATGCTGGCCGTCCCCACTGGCAGTTCGCTTGGCGCCGCACAGCAATACCTGCAGCAGCAGCAGCAGCAGCAGCAGCAGCAGCAGCCGGCCGTCGATGACGGGGTGGCGCTATTCGGCAGCCATGGAGGGGCCCACGGCGAGCTGCAGCCCTTCCCCGCGGCTTGCTCCAGCGGGCCCGCCGGCGGTGAGCCGGGGGCGGGCGGCATGGAGGACGACGAGGATGAGGATGAGGAGCACGAGCAAGAGGACGACGAAGATCAAGAAGATGCAGGCGGCGGCGCCGCGGCCAGCGCTCGCGGCCCGCCGCCCGCACGGGGCCGTGCCGCAGCCAAGGGCAAGAAGTGAGCCGCCGCCGCGCGCCTCAGCGCTCCGCATGACTCTGTCATCGCGCCACGCCGCGCCGCGGCTGGCCCCAAAGACGCGCCTTGGAGCAGCTCGCGCGCCGCGCGAGCCGGCCCTCCATACGCCCTGCACCGCGCGGCGCCGAACGAGCCGTTGGCTCTCCGCGGTCCCCCCCACCCACGCCCGCGCCCGCGCCTTCCCTCCGCCCACTCAATCCCAGGAAGCCCCACCTCCAGGGCCGCTTCAGCGGGCGGCTGGCCACCAAGGACGACGAGAAGCGGCTCGTCCAGGAGTGCCGCCTGCTGGGGCCGCTGCTGGGCGGCGTGGGCAAGCGCGGCGACGGCAGCCGGCTGACGCTCGCGAAGATAGTGCGCGGCATCGCGGCGGGGGAGGTCAGGCAATACTGCCAGGAGCGGGAGCGGTACTTCAAGGTGCGGCCGGGGGCTCTGCAGCGGCGACGCTGCGCCGGCGCCTTGCTGGCGGCGCGACCCCTGCAGCAGCTGCGCCTCGAAGCAAGGGCCCCGTGCGGAGCGCGCGCGCGCCTCCCATGCACGGGCCGGATCGCGCGGTGGGCTCACCGCACCGCGCACCCCGTGCGGGCAGAGTCCTTGCATCAGCTATTGTAATCCACCCCTTCCCCCTCTGGTTTCGGACCCGCCTCAGGCGCTGTCGCAGCGGTCGAGCGCCCTGGAGGAGGCGGTGCGCGAGGTTGACGAGCTGCGGGAGGCGAACAGGCAGCTCAGGGAGCGGCTGAGCGCGGACGCGGGCCGCGGCGGCGGCCGCGGGGGAGCAGGAGGAGCCGCGCCGCAGGCCGACCACGCTGACGGCGAGGCCATGGTGAGTTGGCTGGCTCTGCTAGCTGATCGAAGCTCTTTGCTACGAGTTGTCGCGTGGGTGCGTGCGCCGCCCTTCGTCAACGCCGCCGTGCGCCCCTCTGCGCCGCCCTCGCCCACCCTATCTCGCCCGCACGTCACGGCCCCCAAACTTGCCAGGCGTTTGACGCCGCGCCGATGCAGGGCGTGGTCAACGGCATGGTCAACGGCACGCGGCAGATGGAGGCGCGGCAGTCCAGCTTCGCCTCTCTGTCGGACGCCAGCTACCCCCGCGCGGACCCAGGGCTGCCGCCGCTGCCGGCCGCGGCGGCGCCGGCGGTGCCGCAGATGCTGATGGTGGCAGCGCCCCCGGCTGCGGAGGCCCTGCAGCCGCTGCTGCAGCAGCAACAGCAGCAGCAGCAGCAACAGCAGCTGCACCAGCAGCTGGCACAGCCGCTGCAGCAGCACCTGCAGCCGCAGCTGCAGCAACAGCAGCCGCACCAGGCGCCGCTGCTGCAGCAGCAGCTGCTGCACCCGGGCGCCGCGCCGCTGGACGACCCGTCCCACGCCCAGGCAGCGGCGCTGCCGCCTGTTGCCGCGCAGCTCGCTGGCGGCGCCGCGGGCATGGGCGTCGTTGGCGGGGCGGTGCCGACGGCGGCGCTGCCCGTGAGCCTGCCAATGTCTCTGGTGCAGGCACAGGTGGCTTCACAGCCCGTGGCCTGCCTCCCGCTGGGCTCGCAGGCCATGGCCATGCACCAGCTGCAGATGCAGGCGCCCCTACCAGCCGCGGGCCCGGCAGGGCCGTCCGGCGGCGCCGTCGCGGCCGCCGCCGCGGCCCAGGCCCACATCGCGGCCCAGGCGCAGGCCGTGTCGCACGCGGCGATCTGCGCGCAGCAGCACGCGCACAGCCTGCAGGCCGCGGCGCACGTGCACGCGCAGCGCGCTCAGGAGGCGAGCCATCAGGTGGTCAGCCTGCAGGCGACAGCGCAGGCGATCGCGCAGACGCACACAGAGATTGTCCAGAAGATCGAATCCGTGAAGGTCGCGGCCGTCGCCCACATGCAGAACCCCCAGGCGCTGATCGCGCCAGCTGAGGTGGTGAAGCACGCGGAGGAAGCCGTGCAGAAGCTGCAGGCGCAGGCGCAGGCGCAGGCCGTCGCGGCGATGGAGGTGAGCGCCGCGGCGCAGCGCGCCGAGGCCGAGGCGCAGAAGCACGCGGCCGCGCACGTGCACGCCGCGGCGCAGGCGCAGCAGCTGCAGGCGCAGGCGCACAGCCTCCACATGCAGGCTGCGATGACGACGGCGGCGTCGGCGCCGGTCGCCGCCGGCTTTGAGGCTCAGGGTATTGCTCCTGGCGGCGTGGTGGCCGGCGTGCTGCCCGCCGCGCCACCTGCGGGGCTGCAGCTGCCAGTGGCTGTGGTGGCGCCGGCCGTGGCGGCGCCCGCGGGGCTCGGCATCGGCGGCCCCTACCCTGGCTCGCAGGCGGGCCTGCTCGGCTCAACGGCCGCGGCCGCCGGCGGGGCCGGCGCCCTGACGGCGCCGCCGACTGCGGCGCAGCTGCCCGACCCGGTCGTCAGCGCGGCTGCGCTGCAGTCTGTTGGATCTGTCGGGTCTGTTGGATTCGTGCAGGTGGGTTCGCCTGTCAGCCTGACCGCTCTCCAGTGCTTGCAAGCGGTCCTGCATACCTATTTGTGACCCTGGATGCTCACCAGTGCTTGAAGGGCATGCATAGCTGCTCGCCTGCTGCCCTGCCGCACCTCTGGCGGAGGCCTGCTGTGGCACGTCACCCCTCTCATGGTCCCGCCTGTCCCAATGTCGCTCTCCCAGGGCTCCATTGCCAGCACTCAAATGCCCATGGCAGGGGTGATGGCGCCCTCCGCTGCGCTGATAGCGCCACACCAGCACCAGCAGCATCACCACCAGCAGCAGCAGCAGCAGCAGCAGCAAATGCAGCAGCAGCAGCTACAGCAACAACAGCTGCAGCAGCAACAGCAGCTACAGCAGCAGCAGCTACAGCAGCAGCAGCTGCAGCAGCAGCAGCAGCAGCAGCAGCAGCAGCAGCAGCAGGCTATGTTGTCGCTATCGCCCTCGATCCCTGGAGCCGCAGTGGCCCCCGCAGCCCTGATCGCGGCCCCAGCCCACTCCCATTCAGGGCCACCCTTGACAGGGGGCAGCGAGGCGGCGACGCCGACCCCGCGCACCAGCTCTGGGGATGCGGCAGCGTTCCACGCCGCCTCGGTCCAGCAGGCTGCCACGATGGCCGCACAGCATGCGGCGGCCCAGCAGGCCTTGCTGCAACAAGCAGCTCTCCAGCAGCAGCAGCAGCAGCAACAGCAGCAGCAGCAGCAAGCTCAGGCGGACGCTGCATCGGCAGTGGCTGCCGCGGCCATGGCGCAGGCGGCAGCAAACGCGGCGCAGCAGGCGGCTCATTTGCAACAGGCCCAGGCGGTGGCTGCGGTGGCACACGCGGCCAACATGCAGGCCCAGCAGCAGCAGCAGCAGCAGCAGCAGCAGCAGCAGCCTGACTCCGCCTCCATCGGGGCTGCTGCTGTCGCCGCTGGCACGAGCGGCGGCACGCTCGCGATGCAGACTCAGCAGTCTGTTGCAGCGAGCGCAACTGGCAGCGCGGCGGGGCTGGCTTCCATGCTGTCAGGCCATCAGCGAGAGGGGTCTGTCACAGGGCCGCAGCACCTTCCGCCAGTGGCAGCACAGCAAGAGGGCGCAGCTTCGATGCAGCAGCTGCTCCAGCAGCAGCAGCAACAGCAGCAACAGCAGCAGCTGCTGCAGCAGCAGCAGCAACAACAGTTGCAACAGCAGCAGCAACAGCAGCAGCAACAGCTGCAGCAGCAGCAGCTGCAGCAGGTCGCAGCTGTGGTGGCGCAGCAGCAACAGGCGGCAGCCGCAGCTCAACAGCAGCAGCAGCAGCAGCAGCAGCAGCAGCAGCAGCAGCAGCAACAGCAGCAACAGCAGCAACAGCAGCAACAGCAGCAACAACAACTGCAGCAGCTCGCGGCAGAGGGGACACCGACCATCACGCCACGAACGTCTCTGCAAGGCAGCACGCCGCCCATCGCCGCGCCGTCCGCCTCGCCCGCAGACGTGCGCGCCTTTAACGTGGCTGCGCAGCTGCAGGCGCAGAGTGCGGGCTGGCCGGCGGGGGTGGGCGGTTCCGTCGGGATCGTGCAGCACGCGGCGGCAGCAGAGATGCAGCTGCAGATACAGCAGGCGCAGCAGCAGCAGCAGCAGCAACAGCAGCAGCTCCTGCAGCAGCAGCAGTTGCAGCAGCAGCAGCAGTTGCAGCAGCAGCAGCAGCAGCAGCAGCAGCAGCAGCAGCAGAGCCAAGTCCAAGGAAGCACGCAGCAGCCGTCCATCGCGGCTGTCACGGGTGTATCCGCACAAGCGCAGCCGCCAGCCCCCGCCGCCGCCGCCCCGCGGCCGGCTCCGCTGGCGGCCCCGACTGGCGCCGCGCTCCCCCTTGGCGCGCTCGCCCTGCCGCCGCTCCCGGCCCCGCCGCCCGGCCTCGGCCTGCCGCCACTGGCGCCGGCCCCGCACGCGCACGCGCAAGCGCCGCCGCGGCCGCAGGTGCCGCAGGCGGTTGCCCCCCTTGACGCGATCGAGGCGCAGCTCAGCGCGCGCGGCGGCCTCGACGTCTGCCTGCTGGACGTCCCCGGGCTGATGCCCGCTGATCTTGACCCGTTGACCGTCGAGCGGCTGGTGCAGACGCCCACGCCGACGCCCTTGACCGCGGGCGGCGCGGCGCCGCCGGGGGCGCCGGGGATGCTCGCGCTTCCCGGCCTGCCGCCGCTGACGTGACGGCGCCGGGCCGCGAAGGGACGCGCGGGGGCGCCGCACGCGCGGGCGCAGAAGTGCGGGCCCGGAGGGCTGCAGGGGTGCGGCGGCGATTGGTCTTCATGACGGGCGGCGTGGTGGGCCGGCCCGCACGTTGGTTGAGTATCGATGGAGCTGGCCGGATCGACAGCATCATGGGAAAGGGATTGTGACGCAAACACTGACCGAAGCTTCTCAAGCCAAAGCAATCCAAGCAGGCGCATGGGGTCGCATGAGGTCGCGCCCCGCTTTCGTATTCGCTGTGCACAAAGTATGTATGGCCCCTTGTTTTTGTTGAGCGCAGGCGATCCTGGTCAATGGAGCAAGCACTGCTGTGCGCCTCACTACGCGGCGCGGCCGCCGGTCTGCTCGGGCTTGGTAATGCTTGCATGTCATGGCTCCCATGTCGCCGTACGCACTGCCCCCTGCGCCCTCCATCCGCCCTGCACTGCGCCACGCGCCGCTCGACTCCCCATGCCAGTCGGCCGCGCGTGCTGCCTGCCAGTGCGCGCACCCAGGTGCGTGCCCCCTGCGCCGCCCCATTTTGCCGTCGGAGCCACGCGCCTGCGCACACGCCCCGACACCGGGGCCGGCCCGGCGAAATTCACTGGGGAGGGGCTTTTTTTGGAGGACTGCGCAGCACATGTGTTCCCGTACCTCGAACGGCCTGGTACTGCATTGCAACGCTCGTGCGTCGGCCCCTCTCTTCACTGGGGGCCCGCGGCCGGCGCGCGCAAACATTCACAGACACCGCACACAACATCATTTTGTCACCCGAACCGCCGAACAAGGATGGGCGACTGGGGCCGTGCGATGCATGGCGGCCCGTCGCGCCACGCGAGCAATTGCTCGGCTTCACCACACGCGCGCTGGCGCGCTTGCCGGCCCGCACGCAACACTCCCGCGACCCCCGCTGCACCGCCCCCGCCGCCGCGCAAGCTCGGGCGCCGCCGCGGGCGCGGCTCTCGGCAGGGTGGGCGGCCCCCGTTGGGACCCTCCCTGGCGGCGCCGCCGCCGGCGCCTGCGCCGGGCGCGGCGGCGGGTCTTGTTGACCGATACTTGATGCTGCAGGCGCTCCGCATGCGCTCCGCATGCGCGCCCGCGCCGCGTGCCCCGCGGCGCCTCACGCCGCACCCACGCGTGCACGAAGGGCTGCGACCCACGCGTGCACGGGCGCGTGGTGTGCGTGGAGCGCCGCGGGAGGAGCCTGCCTGTCCTGTCTTGACCGTTCCCACATGTGTTTCAGGCATGTGCAGTCGTGGTGCGAACCCACTTGCTTTTTTTCCCGTGCGGGGTACGCCTGCGCTTGCGTGTTTGTGTCCCCAAATGGTTTGTGAAAGCGGAGCCCCGGCCGCATTCGCAGGGCCCGCCGCACTTGCACCATTGCCTTTGCGCTGCCCCGCGGCGGCCGCTCGCTCGCGGCCACGGCGCCGCCTATACCTCCGCTTGACGCAGCCCTGCCGCGCGCCTGGTTCAGAGGGCCCGGCCGCGGCCCGCCGCGCACCCGCCCGCGACCCCCTGTCGGCGCAACGCCGAAGGCCGCGGCGGCGCGGCGGCCGCGCCCGGTCCGCCCGGCGCGGCGCAGCCAACCCCGCCTTGGGCGCTTTTCTATCGGTCTGGACCTTCGGTCGATTATATGCGGGGCGCGAACAGCCCCCCACCTCGCTCCCTTAATACACCCCCTTTGGCTCCCTCCCCTCTCTCTCTTTTCCTGGAGTCTGTCTCTCTCTCGGTCTCTTTTCAGTCTCTCTCTGTGTCTTCCGGTCCCTGCCCCGCGCGTTGGCTTGTTTCAGCCACCCCCTCGTCTTCCACACACCCCTTGTCCTCCTCATCCCCCTACCCCCGGGACCCACCAGGCGACGCCGTTGCCCGCTGGCGCCGCGGGCACGGCCTTTCCCCGGGCGAGCACCCGTGTACCGCCACACCAACACCCCTGTGCACGCATGTATCACACAGCCCGGCCCTGGCGGCCCCTCCTCGCCTATCGTGCGCATGGCGCAAGCGGGGGCGGGGTGTGACAGGCCGCGTTGCCAACCCCACTGGCGGCCTTGTAACTCAATGTAAAAGTTCCCTGCCCACCCCAGCGCTCCGCCTCGCGTTTGCCGCTGCCGCTGCTCTCCTACTCCCATGCGCAGCACACTGGCGCCGCGCCCTGCCCCGCGTCTGGTCCTTGCCTAGTCATCACACGGCCCCCCTTGGCGCGGAAATGGGAGTCGAGGGTTCGGGAGCAGGCGGCCTGGTTGAGCAGGCCCGACCCAGCAGCACCGGGTCTTGAAGCAAGCTTATACATATCAGTCGTCACAACTTACGACAGGAGACTGAGGGATCACCCAGACAGCAGACAGCAGCAGGCCTTGTTGCTCAGAACGCACGTCACAGCCGAGGGCCGGCACGGTCAACCAGGCAGGCCCCGGCCGCCCCAAACGTCTGGGGTGCGGGTCCCCACCCGTCCGTCCCGGGGCAAAGGCCGGGGTGAGGGGCACCGGCAACGGGCGGCACGATCCAGGGTCGCTGCTCAGCTCAGCGGCCAAGCAGCGGGCGCAAGGGGCTTCTGGGCGCGGCTGAGTGCACGCATGGGGTGAAGCTCGTGCTGTTACAAAGGTCGCAGGCGTAGGGTGTTGACGTCGCTGCTTTCCCAAATACCAGGAGCATGCGGCAGCATGCAAATGCGCATTCGCCCAGCTCGCCGGCGCTGCCCTGCCGGACCCCCACATACGCATGACGCCAGCCGGCAGCAGCGAGGGGCGCCAACTGGGCCCGCAAGCAGGGGAGGGCGGGGCTCGCTGCGCCGCGGCTGCCAAACAGCCTACCTCTCCTGGCGGCCGCAGCGGCGGGCGGCGGCGCAGCTTGAGGCCAGGGCCCGAAGCCTTCTGCGGGCGCAAAGCGCTGGCACTCAGAGCCTCCAGGCGCACACAGGACGATCTGGGCGGGCCGCCGTCCGGGCGTGTGATCAATGTCGCCGCTGCACCCGCGTGACAGCCGCCTGAATTGGCGCCTGCCCAGCCAAATTGGCTGGCCGCACACCCAGGTGCTGGGTGTCGAGCAAGAAACGGTCAGGGCTGCCCGGACCACAAAATCACAGATGAAGGCGCGGCAGCGGCGGCGGCGGCGGCAGCGGCAGCGGGGGCGGGGGCGGCGGTGGCCCTTTCGATTTCATTTTCAGAATTGCATTATAGTGGAATGATGCGCGCGCGGGGGCAGCGCCGTTGGGCGATGAGGGGCCGGCCCGGGTTGGGCGGGGCCGACGACACGGCTCGGGTCCGCATGAGAAAGCCAATTGGTTGGGTCAACTGCTGGCGTGGACCTGCCACGCCTGTCGGCTGCTGTCAGCATGCATACCCGGCATGCACGCATCATGTCAGCCCGCGTGCTGTGCGGTCGGTGCCGCTCACACGGCATAAAAGGTTGAAGCAGGTGCACGCTTATGCCCGCATGGGCTAAGGGCATGCTTGAGGGAGCCACCTGGCAAGCAGCGGCCAGGGAGGGGCCAAAGGCGGCGCTCGCCGCAGCTCGCCCGAGCAGCGCTCGGGGGCGCGCGCGCGCGCGCGGCCCGGCCAGAGGCGAGCC